TGAATTTACTTATTTGAATATTAATCATTTTGCTAATACACTCTTAACAGGTATATGTAGTCATACATGTAGTCGATTAGTAATTCTTTCTTCATAGCCCCTACTGGACCAGTGGGTGATATTATATTCTCATCAGTAGAGTCAGTGTCAATGACTGTCTCATGGGATGAAGTACCTTGCAATGGAAGGAATGGACCAATCACTGGATACTACCTCACATACACTAACATCACTTCAAACACTAGTTATACTGTTAATATCACTGGAGGAGACAACAGAATGTATAATCTCACAGGATTAATACCATATACTAACTATACTGTGAGTATAATACCTTATAATTATAATATGAATGGACCAGCTAGACAAGAAATACAATTAACTGCTGAATCAAGTAAATTTTAAATAATTTTAATTATTAATTTTAAAAAATACATTTATAGAGCCAAGCATTGTCACTAATCTCACATTGGCCAATAGACATCAGTCTACAGTAAAAGTCTCATGGAATCCTCCTACAATACTTAATGGTATCATTACAGTATATGAGATAAGATATAGAGAGTCTACCAGTACTGGTCCATACAATATAACTAACACTACTAACACTTATTACAGTATAGTAGGATTGATACCTAATACTAGTTATACTATTGGAGTGAGAGCATATACTAGTATTGGACCAGGAGAATGGGCTGCAGAAACAATTAACATTGGTAAAGCTACATTTCACATTTATATATTTTTCATAATTTTTTCATAGCAAAAGTAGGCAATTTTACTCTCAAATACCTCAATGCAACTTCTATACAAATGAATTGGCTACCTATTCCATGGGCCAGTTACTACACTGTCTATTACAGCAGTGGGTGTGATGATGATTCAATGAATGTTAGCAATGAAACAAATCAAAGTGTCGTATCAGGACTATACTCATGCCTCATTTACTCATTTGAGATGTCAGTGACTATAGAAATAAATGGAACTTATTATGAAGGACCTAGAACTGTACCAACAGGTAACTGAAATAATCACAATATTACAATAAAACTTCCACTATCACTGTTTAGTGTTTAGCATCATCAACAAGTATCTAAAATGATTTGTCAATTTATTTTCAAGCAATTATATCAGTAATCAGCTTATGTTTATAGTTTCTCGTTCTACTGATACAATGACTACTGTATTGACTACTGTATTGAGTACTGTTTCAACAACTGTATTAGTGAAGAATGGAGGAACTATTACTGGATGGATAATTGGTGTGACAGTATTAGCATCACTATTGGCTATATCTGTAATTATTATACTGGTACTGGTTGTGTATATTAAAAGAGCTAATATCAATCAAAAGAGGTACGTTTATTTACTATAATTAATGTTAAAATTTGTAGTAGTTTACAATTACATAGAAAATTAGATAATGACATTGTAATGGAATGCAGTCCAGCTTATAGATCTACTACAAAGTTAGTTACCTTATCAATTATCAGATTGTGTTTATTATACAAATACACACACACAGTATTGCTGATAATATGGATAGTCCAATATATGATACAGTAAAACAAACACTGTCGGTTATATAAATACAATTATTATTATTATTTAAAGTTATTATTAGTAGATTAAATGTTGAGCCAGTGTATGACACAACAGGGCCTGAGACTACTACTCCACCTGCTGAATATGAAATACCAACTGTTTCATGATTTGGTGCACAATACAACATTAAAGTGTGTCTGTCATAGATTTAAACTTTAAAGTTGCACAACAGTTTAGTACTTCATCATTGAGTACAAAAAATTTTACAATAATTAAAATTCTGTGCATGAGTGTCTGTTATTATTAATACAGTTATTATCAATGTACAAGTAAGTCTTTGCTAGTATCAGATCCTTTTCTGGGGAGTTTTCCCTTACAAAGCTACCCTTGATCCTAACTGCAGTGCTCTTTTAGTAAGTAACTTTTATATTATTATTTGTTAATTCATTTATTTATATACTATGAAACTAAATGTACAAGTTTTGTAAAGGAAGGAACAAGGAGGTGGTGGTGTGTTCTTAGTATAATGTGTGGGGAATCAACTGTTACATAAACTTCCATGACATGTGTTTCCTGATGCTATAGCCTTATGTAGGAAGAGTTTAAGTTTCCTGTGAAGATGTTGAGGACATTGCTTCTTCTTGCTGGCTTCCTCTATACATGAATCACCTTTGGACTTGTCATCACTTGAACCTCCATAGAACGACTACACTTTACTAGCAGAGCAAGAAAATCAATAAAAAAAATTATTTAAATTAGCCTCATTTCATATACAATTTGCAAGTATTTTAGATCTAGTATCAATTAGGATTGTATACCAGTACATGAACTTAACATTAATTTTGGTGTGTGTGTGAGTCATACATGTACATGTACATGTGGATGTGTTATTACATTATGGAGTGCATGTACATGTGTGTTCATTTTTTCAATCTTTGCTTGCATCAGATCTTTTCCCACTGTATGTAGTGCTTTTTTGGGAAATACTTTTGTATTTATTTATGCCATAAACACACTATCAGTGTATGATGAGTCAATGCTGTAATGGTCACAAGACAGTTGATGTTTTGGCATAAGAACAAATGACTAATATCAACGCATGTTCTGGTTTTGTAAAGGAAACATTATGTTGGAATTGCCTTCTTAACCAAGTCAACATACTTTATGTTTTACATGTGAAATAGCAATTAAAAAATTCTCACGTTATACAAGTTAAAAAAACAAGGTGAAGTAGGATTCTGGAGCAAATTCATATAAAAGTAATGGAAACAAAGGCAAGTAGGATTCTGAACGACCAACAAAGATACAAAATGAAAATCCTACTCTTGTGACAAATTCTACTTTATACATTGTACTTTTAATGTTAAACATGATAAAAATCACTGCATAGTAATACTATCACAACAGGCCCCCAGTAATTCAAAATCCACAAGAAGTCATATAT